AATCTGAAGTGCATTCAAGGCCTCCAAGCTGTACTGTGGGACTCACTATAGTCACTGGTGTGGTGCTGTGGGTTAATGCGCCAGACCACAAAGCCTTTTGAACTACAAGGTTGGCGGTTCAACCTCATCAGCTGATCCTTGAAAACCCTATACAGGGTAGCTATGGTTTGGAATCGACAGCACTTAACAACACAGTTTTCATCCACAGACTGGTGTGGCGCTGTAGTATAAGCACTGGATTGCTAACCACAGGGTCGGCAGTTCAAACCTACCAGCCTCTCTTCAGAAACCCTATACAGGGTCACTATGAGTTGTAACAAACTCATTGACACCTAACAAGGTAGTTTCCATCCAGGAAGAGTCAGATTGTCCCCACTAGCCCTTTAACTCTTAGCATGACTCATCAGTATAGTCCCACTAGGGCTCCTTCTTCCAGAGGGTGCTGGACCCTAGCCTTCCCCTGCTCAGAGGTCTCCAATCTTTGTTCTAAGACCTGTATTTCCACAGGCAGAATGTGGGGCTATGATGCCCGAGTGGGCCCACTTGTTCTCCCCAAGAATGTTTTGACTGTGTATTTCCATTCTGATCATGAGTAGGAGCATTATGGCCGACAGCATGAGACTTACTCCACTCACACGTTAGTGTCTCTGTCGCATGGCACGGCTCAGCTCAAAGTCAGTAAAGCATCCCCTGCAGCCATTTTAATGTAGTTACATGGAATCTCATTGGTTTTTTTCATATCAGAAAATGGTTGGCTTTTATTGTATATATTACAGCAAAATCCAAAAATAAATATTTTTAAAATCAGTTTTCTCTTCGTACATACTTAGGTGATGTGATAATAAACAAGTCTTCCTGACAGCATAAGTACAAGTAGGTGTGGCTTTAATAAACAAATGTATTTTCTACAGTTTAGGAAGCTATGTCTGAAAAGAGGGCTCCAGGGGAAGACTTTCTCTCTGTTGGTTCTGGGGGAAGGTCCTTTCATATTCAGCTTCTGCAGCCTCCATTTGTCTTGGTACCTAACTTACCCCATCCCTCCTTCTGCTTGCTTATTTAATCTCTTTTATATGTTGGGCTGGAGTCCTGGTGTGGTGCTGTGGGTTAATGTGCTATACTGCAAAGTCAATTTGAACTGAAAGCTCACCAGCCGCTCCTTACTATGGGTTGGAACCGACTTGACAGTATTTAACAACCACAACAACATATGTGGGGCTGCCACTCAGATGTGACAATCTGCTTCTGTAAAAATGCACAGCCTTGTAACACAATCCACAAAGACAATGCTCTACATCCTGCTGTACTGAGTAACAACTGGAATAGTAAAAGCTCATGAATGGCCTTCTAAGGTGCAACTTACTATTGGTATCTCCCTGTCCAAAGGAAAGAATGATGAAATCTGAAGACCAATCTGGTCTCTATAACTCTGAGACCAGAAGAACTAGATGGTGCCAGGCTAGATGGTACCAACAGCTCTAAAAGGAATCACATTGGAAGGTCATTGGATAGATATCATAAAAAAGACCAGGCCTACTGGTCACATAGACTGGTAGAACCTTGAGACAATGACCCTTGATTACCCTTGGGGTCTGGAACTGAACTCACCCTCATGGCTCAATTTTCAGTCAAACAATAGAACAAGTATAGATAGGAAGGGCAAGAATATCAGTGAGACATGCACGCCATAGTATGGTCAGCCGCTGGAGATCAAAAGGGCAGCATTTACCTAAGGACAAAATTCAGAAGTGTAGTGAAAGGAGGAGGAATGAAAACAAAAAACGCAGGCAGGAAGTGGGATAATGTGACACTTAGAGGCTTGTAATCATTGAGAGGAAACAAAGTGTATGATTTGTTGAATGTAAACTGATCATTTGTTCCATAAACTTTCATTCAATTCACAACAAAAAGTTAAAAAAATAGTTTTACAGCCTTGGAAACCTCATGGGGCCAGCTCTACTGTCACATTATTGTTAAGTGTTGGCAAGTAAGTTCTGACTCATAGTGACCCCGTATAGGGCTTCCGAGGAGTGGCTGGTGAGTCTGAACCATAGACCCTGCGGTCCAGCGCTTTATATCCTGCAGCACACCACTGTTCCATGTTGTTGTTAAGTACCTTGGAGTCAGTTCCAACTCATAGTGACCCTGCAACAGGGTTTCCAAGGCTGTAAATCTTTACGGGAGCAGAAAGCCTCATCTTTCTCCCATGGAATGGCTGGTAGTTTCGAACTGCTGAACTTGAGGTTAGCAGCCCAATTCGTAACCACTTCGCTACCAGAGCGAAGTGTTGTTAAGTGCCGTCGAGCTGATTCTGACCCATAGCAACCCTGTATAGGGTTTCCAAGGAACAGTTGGTGAGCCTGAACCACCGACCTTGCAGTTCAAATGACTTTGCAGTTTGATGCATTACTTTGTTGTTGTTATTAGGTGCCATTGAGTCAGTACTGATTCATAGCGACCCTGTGCACAAAGCAACGAAACACTGTCCAATCCTGGGCCAACCTCACAATTGACGCAGTACTTAGAATCACTTTAATTCCAAATAGAGTCGCTAAGCATTGGAATTAATTCCATGGCAACGGGTTTGGTTTGGTGTCCTGAGTAAATCTCTTACAAAATATAAAATCACCAGATTAAGCAAGCAGAGATAGGTTAAGACAGATGTGAAGACACATGGTGATCTCCAAGGAACTAGGAAACAGAAGCTGAAGAGACAAGGACCTTCCTCCAGAGGCAGCAGAGAGAACGCCTTCCCCTAGAGCCATGGCCCTGAATTTGGACACTAGCTTCTGAAAGGTATGAGAAATATAGTGAAGGCCATTCACTGTTCTCACTTATCTAGTGGTGCTATACACGAGCCAAGGGAGAAGACCTGAAGACAAGGGGTTCAAGGATCTAAGGTTTTGGGGGAATTGAAGCTCGGATTCTGTCCTGAGGACAGCAGGGTGCTTGCAGTGTGTGACATGATGCAATTAGCACTTTTGTATCTAAGAGAATGGACTAAAAGAACAAGGCTTGATGTAGGGAGACCAGCAAAGATGCTGCTGTTAAGTGCTGTGGAGTCAGTTCCAATTCATAGTGAACCTTTAGAGGGTTTCCAAGGAGCAGCTGGTAGGTTTGAACCATCAAATTTGTGGTTAACAGTCCAGTGCTTATGTTACAATGCCACACCAGGCAGGACTCCCCAATCCTTGCAACTTTGAGAAAAATTCCATCCCTGTCTTGGGAGGAAAACGATGCTGTAGATCTAGACAATCCTGGCTCTTAAGATCCAGGCTAGCTCAGAACCTGCCTGGGTCTCCACTGCCTTCTACCCCAGCAAACATCAGTGGCCAGTTCTGCTCCATTACCCCCATACCTCAAACTAGATACTCCTTGAAAGTAGGAATGTGTCTTGATTTCTCTGGGACCAACGTGGTCCAACACAGAGTAAGGCACATTGGAAATATTCAGTAGGTACTTCTGTGGAATGTGATAAACTACTAGATAATTTGGATCTGCCCAATACCTAGGAGGAGAGATGCTGTGAAGTGCAGTCGAGTCACTTTTGACTCATAGCAACCCTGTGTAAGGTTTCTGAGGAGTAGCTGGTGGGTTTGAACTGCTGACCCTGTGGTTCACAGATCAGTTTGATTGACCAGAAAATGGGAGTAGAAGACAGAAATTTCAAGGAGGGACATGAGTTGGGATTAGAAGACAGAGGAGCTCTGGGGATGAGGTAAGAAGATGAGGAAAAGACAACACTGTAGAGTGGAGTAATGGGCTTTGAAATAGAGGTGGAAAGAGGTCATGAGTTAGGAAAGAGAAGATTGGCTGGCTCATGGAGGAAGGCATGTGTGGACCTCAAGTACTGAGGGCCTGCTGTGTCTCCCATGAGGCGAAAAGTAAACTTGAGGCAAGTCACTGGTGGTCCAACTTACTGCCATGATAACAGAACAAATAGTGATGTCCTAAAAAAAGTGTGCAAGGCTATCTTTTGAGCAAACCTTGCAAAGCACTTTTTGAATCTATATTCCTCACAACAATCAGGTCAGGTAAGGAAAGCTTCTTTTTTGCGTGTATGATTTGTGTGAAAATTTACAGAGCAAATTGATTTTCCATTTAACAATTCACACACATTTTGTTCTGTGACATTTACTGCAATCCCCACAAAGTAACAACACTCTTTTCACTCCCCTCTTTGTGGTTACCATTTCCATTTATCCTTCTTTCCCATCCTTTCCTGTCTTCTGAGCAAATGCTGCCCTTTTTGATGTCAAATGGTTGATTTTTCTAAGGCGTGGGTACCTCCCTATTTGTTATTATTTACCTCATAGGCCTGGCTAAGGAGTCCTGGGTGTGGCAGGGTAACACCAGCACTGGACTGCTGGACTGCTAACCACAAGGTTGGTGGTTCCAAACCAGCTTCTCCTTGGGAATCCTATAAAGTCACTAGGAGTCAGAACAGACTCGACAGCATATAACAATAACAAATAATACGCCTGGCTATCATTTGGCTGATAGTTAAACCACCGGGGTGACTTCGGTTCCAGGCCTGAAGGGTGTGTATGTGGTAAAATATTTAACTTCATTCCTTTTTACTTTACAGATGGGAAAATCAAGACCTGGCCCTCAGCTCCTATGTAGAAGAATAGTGCCTACAACTCAAAGCCATTGACTTTAGTCCTTCCTTGAAGTGACTCCAACTCAATTAACCACATGATCTATGTGCTGCTACCAAAGTACCACCTAAACATGACTCTGTGGTAGGGAGTTGAATCCTAGACATTTCATACTTTCTCAACCATCTCATTGACTCCACTCTTTTTCCACCATTAATGTGGATACTTCGGTATTACTAATTATCCTCTCTCACTGCCACAACCTCAACTTACTTAGTCTCCACCATTGAGGCAGGTAGGCTGGGTGTTCACCTAACCCAAGATGACACTGAAGCCCAGAGACTAGTCTAAGGCCACACAATAAAGTCAGAGACAGGGACAGAACTCAGATCCCCCTCTTACCTGCAGCACCGACAAGTTCGTCTGTCCAGAAAGGCTTAGCTTCTCCTGCTCTGAGGGGTAGGCGTTGTAGCGGTGCAAGTACAGCCAGTCCCGAAGGATCTTCACGGACTCCTTGGGCAGGTTCCCTCTCCGCTTCCTCTTGCCTGCCAGGGAGAGGAGACCTTCATCCTCACCCAGATCACTGTCCGACATGGTAGAGGTGTCCAGGGGCTAGGCTGGGCCTCGAGCAAGCCTGGGGCAAGCGACACAGGGGATGGGGACATCAGTACCACACACTGCCTCTCACTCTTTTCCATTATTATTGCTTAGGACACCAGAAATGGGAGAGGAATCATGACCCAATACCACAGCCTGGGCAGGATACAAGGGATGATTCCTGAAGCCTTCTATTTCAAGTAGCTGATAAGTAAAACATTAATAAGCAGTACCAGGATAAGCATGGACTGCTAACTGGAAAGTTGGTGGTTCAAGCCATCAGCCGCTCCTTGGAAACCCTATATAGGGCTGCTATGAGTCAAAAATGACTCTATGGCACTTAACAACACCAGGGCTAGAAACAATTACAGCTACTATTCACAGCTACTGTTCTCCAGGCTCTGACTGAGTACGTTATAGTTATTATCCCATTTAATCTTCACAAAGCCTATGTGAGGGAGAAACTATTATCCTTTTATAGATGAGGACACCAAGGTTTAAGAGGGATAAAATTCTCAAGATCCTACTGCAATTAAATAGCTACCATATGACCCAACAGCTCCACTGGTAAATACATACACGAGAGAAATAAAAACATATGTCCACATAAGACCTTGTACATGAATGCTCATAACATTCTAATAGCCAAAAAGTGTACACAATCCAAATAACCATCAACTGATGAACTTTACCCATATCACAAACAATCCCAAACCAGTTGCCCTTGAGTCAATTCTAACTCATAGCAAACCCATGTGGGTATTATAAATGGTTAAGCGCTCAATTACTAACCAAAAGATATTTGTATTTCAAACCGACCCAGAGGTGCCTTAGAAGAAAAGCCCAGCAATCTGCTCCCCAAAAAACACAGCCTTCAGAAATCAGGTCGACTCTAAACCCATAAGGTTGCCATGATATCCATATAATGTAATATCATTTGGCCATAAAAAGGAATGGCAGTTTGAGCTCAACAGCTGCTCTGTGGAAGAAAGACGAGGCTTTCTGCTCCCACAAGGAGTCCTGGTGTGGTGTTATAAAATAAGCACTGGACTGCTCACCAGAAGGTGAGCAGTTCAAACCTACCAGTCAGTCCTTGGAAACCCAATACAGAGTTGCTATGAGTTGGAACCATCTCAACAGCATTTAACAGCCACACACACACTCAAAATAAAGCACTATATGTATGGATGAACCTTGAAAATATCATGCAAGTGAAAGATGCCAGTCACAAAACACCTCGACTGTATTATTCCACTGATATGAAATGTGCAGAATAGGCAAACCAATAGCAGTCAGAAGTAGATTAGTAGTTACTTAGGGCTGGGGGAGAGAGGTCAACAAGCAAGGTGATGATTAAAGGAATAATAACTATACTGTTTTCTTTTCCTGAGGTAAGAAAAATGTTCTACAATCAACTGCAGTACATGTATCTGTAAATATATTAAAAACCATTATATACTTTGGGTAAGTTTTATGGTATACGAATTATATCTCGATAAAGCTGTTATTTTAAAAGTAAAGAAAGAAAGGAAAAAATACCCTACTGCCAGCTAGCAGCCTTTGAATTTGGATCCAGGTAGTTTGCCCCCAGAGCCTGGGATCCACACTATTGAGTCTCCCCTGTCTAAGGAATCTACAAACTATAGATCACATGGCCCTGCAGCTATCCATGCAACATTTACTGAGCACCCACTGGGTTCACTGCAAAGCAAGTAACCCCGACTGATGGCTTCCTGGACATTCTCTTTTGTCACCTGGTCCTGGCCCTACCATCCTTCCATTTAGTTGTGTAACCCTGGGCAAGTCTCAGTACTCTGATCTTAAGCCCCTAGCCCATTCACCTGTCAAATAAAGTTAGACAACCCAGCTCAGCTGCTCATCTCCACAGAGTTCTAGCAAAATATATTTACATTTCAAAAGCAAAAGTTCCAAGTCAACTGATGCCAGAATCTCCAGGCTCCTCCCTCCTCAGCCTTTTAACATCTCCTAGCCAGACTCTGGCATCTCCCAGGTTTTGTTTCCTCCACTTGGGTCAGAGCCCAGATCTCTGGGCCGGCTGGCCAGGCTTTCGAGGGAAGGGTCTACCCACCCAGTCATGCCACCTGGAGGCGAGATGAGCACTAGTTATAGATGTCACTCCTCAGAGAGCACCCACAGTAGACTGCTATCTGAGGGCAAACATTTTTAGGCAGCTGGGCTCTGGGATGCAGCCCTGGCAGGCTATGAGAAGTTTACTCAAGGTTATCTGTACAAATTCCACCCTGGCTGCCAGCCAAGTCCCAGTCTGCAGGATTCCTGGGGCGAGCCGTGGGGATGGCCCCTCAGTCTACACCATAGTGTCTTGCAATCCATTCGGCCTACAGACGACAGGACCCCAGGTATACACTCCACACTCCCACCGCCTCCCCTCAGCAAGTATGACAACACTCAAGACTTTTCACTAACCCCCACTCAACCTCAGCAACACCCATAATTTTTACGGACACATACAGCTTGTAAACCCCTAGCCTCGCACGAACAACTGTGACACTCGCAACTAGCACAATTCCTGGATATCCGCCCACCCATGAACTCCAACCGACCTGCCCACCCACGAACTCTCGGACAAGGAGACCGCCAGACGTCAATACACTAGCGATTGGTTCCTACCCTCATTGGCCTGAGGCAGCACCCTCTCAGCACAACACTCCCCACACTCTCTCACACACTCCCAACGAGGCGGCCTACAGCCACAACCCGCACCAACTTTCTGACAACTCCCCCCGGCTGGGCCCCGACACTCCCCCGGGCCTCGCGCACACGCTCACATTCCCAGCAGTTCACACAAAGCGCGCTGCCTCCCCCGCTCCCGGACCGAGTCGGAGCACATGGTTCTCCAGGCGGCGAAGAGTCTGCCAGCGCTCCGGACACCAGAGCCCCCGACCCCCTACCCTAGGCTAGACTCGTATCCCAGTTTCCCCATAAGCCTGCGATCCCAGCGGGCCGGGGACTCTGGAAGAAAGAAACTCACGTGCATGGCCCGGGGCAGGAAAAAGTTTGGTTCCCACCCCCTTCCCTGGCGCACGGCGCAGGATGACTTCGGGGCGCGGGGCTGGCCGAGCGTGCGCGCTTGGCTTTGTGCTCCGAACTCGGCCCGGAGGGGGAGGGGAGGGGCTGAGCTCCCACCTCCGCGCCGCCCCCCAGCCCTGCGCCCAGACTCCATGTTGGCCGCCCCCGGCCCGGGCCCCGGGGACTGAGCGCTGGCCCAGCCGGAGGCTCGGCTACACTCTCGACCTGCTCGAGGGTCCCGGCGCGCACAAACTTTCTCCGGGTCGCCGGCCTCACGCGCCCCGCTCCCTTGGCCCGTCTGGGAGTGACAGATGCCTCGCAGACAGAATTTCCTTTGTTTCAAAGGAAAGGGGAACTCGCGCGGGCTCCCCGGCGCCCCCGCTCCGGGCCCTGCCTGAGGCCCCTACCCCAGCTGTCACTCTCAGCGGCCCCCTCCCCTACGTGGCTGCTGGGGGGGCCCAGCCGGCGGTTAGCAACGTGCACTTTTGAAACCAAACAAACCCGCCCCCCGCGCGCTCACCTCAGCGGGGGCGCGGGCGGCCCTCTCCCGGGGTGGGATCCCAGGAAACTGGGCCCCCAAAAGGGTCTCGAACCTTCCCCGGGGGGCCAGCCCCCACCCGACCACGCCAACACAGCACAGTCGGGACTCACAAAAACACTCCCGCTCACACAACTACAATCGTACACGCCGGGACGACGCCCCCTCCCCCGCCCGGCCGAGATCAAGAAAGTTTCCAAGTTGTCCGCGCGCTCCTCTCCCATTCCCTGCGTCCAGCACTGACTTTTCCGAGCGGCTTTTCGGTCCACGAGGCCTCGGGCTTGGTCCCCGCGGCCTGGCAGGGGGCTGGGGGCCGGGAGGAGTGCGCCGCGTACCTGCCTGGCCTGACACTCGGCCTGACAGCTCCGGGCTGGAAAGCACCTCGCGGCCTGACGTCAGATCCCCTCTCCTCCCCTGCACGCTCTCGGCGCCCTCCCCCACCGGCCCAGAGGGAGAAAACAAACTTTGTGCGAAGCGCCGAGAGCTACGCCCACCCCCACCCCCGGGGCGGGCCGATGGCGCGGAGGGGCTTGGCCCCGCCCACCGTGCATGGAGGGGCGGGGCCTCGAGGGCACCATCTTCCTGCGCCCACCCCCACCCTCAGGAATGCCACATGGCCACCGAAGAAGAGTGATGGGAACCAGTCTCGGGATGATTCGCTTGAGGGCAGGAAGTGGACCTGCGCCTCCTTTCGGCGAGCATTTCCGGAGCTCCTACTGTGTGCTCCTTGCTGTGGGTGTAGACGCTAGCTAAATGGAGAAGTAATGCAAATCCTGATGTTTGTGAGTTCGCGCCCACCATCAAGATTTCCTTTCGGCTGTGTTACTGTTCCCATTGCACCGAGAAGAAACTGAGGCCCAGGTAGTCTGTGATTTACTGTGAACTGGTAAGGGACCTAGTTCTGAATGAAACCCCGTTCCTGCATTCAAGGGTCCGTAAAGTCGGGAAGAAAAGCTGGGACGTGAACTCTGATAAGTGCTGTCGAGTCCTTTCCCACTCATAGCGACCCTGTATAGGGTTTCCGAGGAGCAGCTGGTGGGTTTGAACCGCCGACCTTGCGGCTCAAGCGCATTATCCTTGCAGTTCTGCACATTATCCTGCAGCGCCACACCAGAACTCATAGCGACCCTGTAATAGCAACCAACATTTGTGGGGCTTTATAAACAAGGGCGCTGAGCTAGGTACTTCAATGTACCGTCTCATTTAATCTTTAGGTTGTGGGGTGGTTCTGTTCTTTGGAGATGACTGGCTCATCTGTGAGCCATAGAGAGGCTGCTTGACTTGTCTTTTGTCACACTGTCAACGAGTGTGATACAGTCCAGGTCTATAGACAGCCCTGAGCCTCATTGTGACTAGTCCCTTAAGGAAGCAGATGGACACTTCCCAGCGGCCTTGGCTGCTTTCTTTTACCCATAATGCCCAATACCAGGGCATTCCCCATTGCCTTTTCTTAGCCCCCGTGCCAACTCTCCCTTGCTTTCTACTCCTTACACCACTACTGTGAAATACCTGATGACCAACCTCCGTGCGCCATACTGTTGGGGAAGACTGCCTCCAAGGCTGACAAATGGGACGAAGCCTTTTTTGGGTCTCAGGTTCCTCATCTAGGCCCAGGCATCTTGGGCCCTTGAGCTTACAAATCAACAGCCTTGAAAATGACTTGGTGTTTATGACACCTTGTGTGTGTGTTAAGTTCTGTTGAGTTATGAGAACCCTGTACAGGTTTTCAAGGAGCAGCTGGTGGTTTGAATTGTCAATATTGTGGTTAGCAGTCCAGTATTTATCCTACAGTGTCACACCAGGATTCCAGGATTCCTTGTGGCACTTTAGCAATGGAGAATTCGGGGTGCCAATATTGAATTATCTCCAAACAGGCTCTAAGCTGATCAGAACACTGAGTAAGGTGCAATGCACCTGGTCTCCTGGTGGAAGCCAGATTTCCCTGCAAACTCTTAGAACCTAGCTGACTACAGTACTCTCTTCACAGTAACAGCTCAAGTGTTACTGATACTCCTCCGCTCTCTCCATTTTACAAATGGGAAAATACACCATAGTGGAAGCCCCAATTTCTTGGTGGAATGGTACTCTGGCCAAAATCCGCTGGAGTAAGAGAAAAAAATCAAACTCAAAGAGTCTTAGGTAAGAAAGGTAAACCAACTACTCCCTGGCCTCAAAGCATGTGTGAGGAAGTGAGCTTAAGTTGAGATCTAGGGGTGCAGCCAGGTGAGCCTGGAACTGTAACTCCTTCACTGACTGCTGAGCTTGAACTCTGCTAGGCATCTATGTGCTGGCGTCTTTGTGAGCTTGGTGACTTGGCCTGTTTGGGGGAACCCAGAGACCAACCCACAGATTTTGCTAGCGGCAGCCTCTTAGGGCAGTGCTTCCCAAGTATTGTGCTAGGTGTGCTAGGTGAGGTGTGTTGGGGAAACACACCTTCTTTAGCTCAGCCAACAGCCTTTAGCTCAACCACCACCACCTGGGAGCTGGGTAACAAAGCAGCTTCAGGGGCCCGCTCCCTAGATTTCCTGGAGAGGAGTCTAGGGGGTGGGGAGGAAGGCTGTTGGAGTGTAAACATTCCCCAGGTGAAACCTGAATACAGTTAGTATTTGAGAATTACCCTGTAAAGTTTCTCAACTAGTATCAGAATTTTAAATGTTTGTATTCACTAAAGCCAGTAATTCCATTTCTAGGAAGCTGCCTTAAGAAATGACTACACAACACAGATTAATGCTTATATAAGGATTTTCTTCCCAGCGTTATCCCATTCTAGTGAAGAAAATGCAAACTGCTAAATGCCCTTCACAGGGGACTGACTGGCCTGAGCTGCTTGGTTTTCTCCATACAATGGAATCTCCTATTAGGATAAGTCTTTGTACCCAAATCTAGGAGGATGGCTAATGTATGTAGATAAATGAGAGTTTATAGGGTTCCTGTTAGAAGGGGTTTGAAATATCTGATGAGGATTTGGATGGGCATATCTTTTGCAATTGGGAAAATGCTTTTTAATTATTGTCATTTTTCTTGCATTCAATTCTGCTACCACCATCACTAATACCAGCACCACGACAGCCCTTTCTTTTTACTTAAGAAACTGAGTTCTTGAGAGAAGATTACAGGACTTGCTTGGTAATGAACCTACAGTAGTGACTCCTGTGGAAAAGCAAGGTCTGGTGGGGCTAGGAGGGGTGGGGTGGGGGTGTGGGGGTGTTAGACTTGAAGCCCTACCTAAAGGGGCTGTTCCACAGGACAGTTAGGAGACTCAGGAACTGAAGGCTCCTTAGGCCAGAAAATGGACTAAACAGGTCATAAAGGCCTCCATACTAGAAAGCCCCAAAGGCTGCTCTGTGTTGATCATGCTAGTTTCGAGTGATTTTGGTAATCACATCGTTTTTTCTAAATGAATGTCATGTGAATCCACTTTCATTTTAATTATTGTTCAGTAGGTAGTCCCTGTCCTGTTTACTTGGGGTTAATTGGAGGTGAGGAAAAGGGAACCTTCCATGGGAAGGAGGTGATCTTCTGTCTCCGGAGTAATGGAGAAGGACCCAACAAAGGCCAGGATGAGTGAATCATTCAAGAGATAGCATGATTTGGTCAGATGTCAGGGCATTGAAGGCTAGGATGAAGAAGACAGGGAGCCCCCTGTAGGTTCCTGAGCTGGTGATTGAGGAGCATTGGGAAGAGATTGGAAGCAGGTGGTCCAGTGAGGCAGCTCTGGGTAATTGAGGCCAAAGGCCTAGGAAGTCTGTAAATCTTACGTGAATTTCCACTTTACATTTTTTAAGAGTTTTGTATCTTGAAAAAAATTTTTTGCTTATTTTTCTCCAAGTGGTTGGGTATTCAACCAATTTTTGAGCGAATACTGATCATCAAGCCTTATACTTGGGGACCGGGGAACTAGAGTCCAACATCTACCACTTAGAATGTCACTGAGTTTGTGAGCACCAGTGTGGTGTGGTAGAAAATGCATGAGATTTGCAATTTGGAGTTATTAGCTGGGTGATTAAGACAGTCACTCAACTCTTTTAAGCCTCAGTTTCTCAATTATGGAACATCTAGCTTTGTGAAGGTCAAAGAAAATTATGTTTATGAAAAATTATGTTTATGAAAACGCTTTGTGGATAAAACGCAGAGGAGACCTGTTGTGGCGCTGCGAGTTAATGAGCTGGACTGTAAGGTCATTTGAATTGCAAGGTCGGTGATTCAAGCTCACCAGCTGCTCCTCGGAAACCCTGTATTCGGTTGCTATGGGTCGAAATGAACTCAATGGCTCTTAACAAGAATGTTGTTGTTGTTGTTAAGTGCCATCGAGTTGGTTCCGACCCATAGCGGCCCTGTATAGGGTTTCCGAGGGTGTAAATCTTTATGGGAGTAGAAAGCCTCATCTTTCTCCCGCGGAGCAGCTGGTAGTTTCGAACCACTGACCTTAAGGTTCGCAGCCCGATTCGTAACCACTACGCTACCAGAGCTCCTTCTTAAGGACAATAACAACAACAATAGGATTGCTCGAGTCCTGGTGTGATGCAGTAGGTTAATGCACTATACTGCAAAGTTGGTTTGAAATGCAAGATTGGTGGTTCAAGCTCACCAGCTGCTCCTTGGAAAACCCACCGACCACTCGTGGAAAGCCCTGTATACAGGGCCCCTATGAGCCAGAACTGATTTGACAGCACTTAACAACAGCAACAAATAGTCAGAATCAACTCAACAACAGGATGCACAATATATACTATTGTTATTTAGTTCCCTGTAGTTGGAAAATAGAACGAAGTACTACCCAATCCTGCACCAATCCTCACAATGTTTGACCCCCTTCTTGGAGCCAACTGCATCACTCAATAGTGGTGAGGGGCTTCCTCTTTTTCATTGATTTTCTACCAAGCATGATGTCTTTCTCCAGGGACTGCTGGATAAAATGTCCAAATTACATGAGATGAAGTCTTTCCATCCTCAATTTTAAGCATTCAGACTTTACATCTTCCAAGACAGATTTGTTTATTTAAGCTATTCATGGTATATTCCATATATTCTGTAATTCCCATTCTTCACAGTGTGAGCCATAGTTTGTTAAGATTACACAGTCGAATACTTTTGCATAATCAATAAAACATCTTTCTGGTATTCTCTGCTTTCAGCCAACATCCATCCAGATGGCATCAATAATATTCCCCATTCCATGTCCTTTTTTGAATCTGGCTTGAATTTCTGGCAGCCTCTTGTCAATGCGCTGCTGTCATCATTTTTGAACTGACTTCAGCAAAATTTAACTTGTGTGTGATATTAATGATATTTATTCTATAATTTCCACACTCTGTTGACTCACCTTTCATTGGAATGGTTACAGATCTGGATCTCCAGCTGTTTGTTGGCCAGGTAACTGT